AGCCCTACACACACCACACTGAGTCACCTCTCTCTCTCTCTCTCTCTCTCTCTCTCTCTCTCTCTCTCTCTCTCTCTCTCTCTCTCTCTCTCTCTTGCGCGCACGCGCGAGTAGTGGAGTACGGTGAGTTGTGGGGTGAGCCCCACCAAATGAGCAAACAGAATGAATCTTCCTCTAGAACATGAGAAGATACACCGCCATATTTTTTTGTCTTTCGTTCATGCCCTGAGTAGTGGAGTGAGGCCCATATTGAGAGAGAGCAGCCGCCCTGGCCCGCCGCATGTTCAAAATTTCAAATACAGATGCAACTACGTGGACGGAATAACAGAATAAGATATTTCCGAATCATGTAGGCTGTCGGGGGCTGCTGGAGACATACACGTACATGGGCCTCGCTCCACTGACCTCCACATGCACAAAAGACAGTTCTAAAAATGTTTTCATTTTGCACATTTGTAGAGCAGTGGAGCGAGGCCCTGTACCAGCCCGTTTTCTGTGTACGGTTTTTCTTTTTTTCTTTTTCCGGGGGGGAGGAGGTGGGCCATCTGTAGGGCCTGCCCATGCAGGTGGTTTGCAGGTGGTTCTCGTGACCCGATTGGGGGATCGTTTCTTCGGGCATGCTTGAATGCTTGCACCGCCGTTTCTTCAGGCATGCACGCACATGGTTGTTCCTTAGGACATGCTCGCGCATAATCCTTTCTCTTGGCATGCTCGCGCTCACAAAGTTGAGTATGCTCGTGCCCGCACAGTCGGCCATGCTCACACTCACCCTGTTCCCTCTGCACAGCAAACCGGCCCTTCAGACACCAGAAGGCTTAGCTTGTCCCTATACTCTTAAAGAATAGAAAGGGCCCAGCGTGACGCCCGACGCTGGGCCCAGCAGAAATCGTGGAGCGTGGCGGGCGGCGCCGGGCCAAACGGGACAGGCCGCTGCCAAAAAGCGACATGGAGCCGCTTGGACCCTCGCACGCAGTGGCACCCATAGGACGCGGCCGCGGGAAAAAGTAGCGGGGTGCACATTCGCGCAGGGGCAGGCCCGTCCAGGCCATCGTGTGCAGAGGGGCGGAACGCGATCGCAGCTCGGCGGGGGTGGGCGAAAAGCGACGGTTAGCGGGGTGCGCACTCGCGCAGGGTCGGGCCCGCCTAGGCCATCGCGCGCAGAGGGGAGGAACGCGATCGCAGCGCGGCGGGGGTGGGCGAAAAGCGACGGGCGACGGTGGCAACCGTGCCGCTCGGCCGTGCTTGGATGCCGCGACAGACCCCGTGCACTGAGCGTGAGGAGGGGAGAACACGGTCGCAGGGGCGGGACTCTGTCAGCCATCGCGCGCAGCGGGTTGAACCGCACATGGTCGGGGTGCGCAGTGGGAACGACGGGGGAGAGAGAGAGAGAGAGAGAGAGAGAGAGAGAGAGAGAGAGAGAGAGAGAGAGAGAGAGA